CTGCTACCACATGACAAGGTATTTCTGTAGCAACTGATAGCATTTCCATTAATCTGGAGTTCATTTCAGGCTATAATCAGCCTGAGGACACTGAATGCACGAAGCTGCAGCAAGATAATGAATGCCATGAGTAGAAAAGGAATATGTTTGTACCATGGGTACTATGGGATCAGAAGGGAGCAAGAACAGGGCTGCGGCTGGCTTGTACCAGCACGTTGTGTCCCAGGCAGGAAATGCTCCCTGCCCTCCATTACCGGATCTCGCTGCATGGATTTCCCTGCAATAGACTGTGTAAAAAATGCAGTTGTGAGAAGTCTGCATCACTTCTCTTTCCCTGGTCCCATAGCTGCGTCACTGGTTGTGTCCTGGTATTGGAACAAAAGATATTAACTACCTTACCAGACACGCAACCTTCATAATTACCAGGGCACTGGCCAGTTCCTCCAAGGCTTCCGCTCACCCTGCCAATAGCCCAAGAACCCATTTCAACCTACCTGTACTTAAGCTCAGTTCCAAGGCTGTCAGTCAGCCTGCACAAATAGTAAACATGCTATATTCTCCAAGGCAATCAGCTCCAGCGCAGGAACATTCTGAAATGGAGCAGCATAACACCCTAATGTGTACAAAGGCAGCCTCAGGGATGGAGTGACCAGGAACGTGGCAATCAGCACGTGGCATATCAGTTTGGTCTTGGTGTGGTAGTTCGTGCAGGAAGGACTAAAGGCCTGAAGGCAGAGTGGGGTATCGTGGGTGCAGTGTGCTTTTTTTGATGAACTTTTTGAGCAAATGGCTGAATTGCATGAGGAAATCACCTGGATGCATAGTATTCAGAAATCAGATAGGTAGAGATTGATGCCCGGTGTTGCGCAGTGACATGGGCAGACTGCCAGCCCTGTCTTAAATTCCTGCAAGAGGAGGAAACTAAACTAGATTCCAACTTTGAGAAGACAGACCACAGAAACACACAAGACAGGGGAAACTGGACCTTCGTCTCTGCTTAGAGCACGAGTTGTCTCCTCCTGTAGTGCCCTTAAGCAACAGATGCAAGGGCCCGGGGTTGGAAAAAGGTGAGGGCACGGGTAAATGATTTAGATTCAGGAAGAGACAACCACATTAAGTTGCTCCAACCAAGGACCCAATTTAGAATCAATGCCACCAAAAACAGGCAAAGGATGTTAGTAACTGAGGACTCCTCGCTCAGAGGTACCCATTTGTCCGTCGCTCAGACAATAAGAAGAGGCTACTGAGTCTTATAAAGCCAGAGGAATACGATCCACTCCTGCTTCTTCAAGTTGGGTCAGCTGAGGCTGCAAGAAGGAAATTTCAAGTATTAAAAGAGACTTCATGTTCCTTGGAAGGATGTTGAAGGAATTGGGAGTATGGGGAGGGACCTCCCAGGGACCTCCGCCTGGGACCCAGGTAGAAGGAGGAGAACAGATCAGTTGAATGACTGGTGTGTGGGTGGTGTCACACTCAAAGTTTCGGGTTCCGTGATTGATGATGTCCTTTTTGAGAGACCAGGCACGTTGACATTGGATGGGATGCAACTGACCAGTGGAGCAAAAACATCCTGGGCTGAAGATTCAGTGAGGGAAGGGGATGTACTTCTGAGTGACAGGGAAGAACCAGGGAACACTGTCACTTTAGAAAGCAGAAGGGGAAAACCTCCGATTTTTCCCAGAGGAATTCAGGAGGGCTCCTCCGAGAACATAACATGGCTGATAGCCTGGCTGAAATGCCATTACTTTAATGCAGGCTGACTTAGAAATTAGCAAGAGGAGCTGGAAGTCACTGTGCAATTAGAAAACTGTGACCTAATTGGTATCATGAAAACACGGTGGGACAAATAACATAACTGGGACACTAACATTGAAGGCTAAAAGCTTTTTGGATGAGATAGACAGAGCAGAGGGGCAGAGGAATTGCCTCTATGCTAGGAGATGAATAGACTGTGAAAGAGCTGTCTCTAAAAAACAGCTGTGATCATATTGAGAGTCCAAAATAAGAATGAGGAACTACCAAACCAATAAAGAGAGCATGAGAAGAACATGGCTCCGTTACCCACCCTGGTTAAACAACTGCAAGTGAATTCAAAACTCTCAGCATCTTCTATGAGATTAATGTTTTTCCTTCCATCTTACTGAGAAAAGAATTCTTCTCTGTTACCCGCATGCCTGCAGTCTGTAGATGAGGAAATACAGTATTTGCATACATAATGGTGTTTCTCTCATCTCACAGAGCTGGGAGTCTGAGAGACATGAAAAGGTAAAGCTGCAGGTGCTCTTATTTACAGAACAGTACAGAAGCCGATGAGATCTGAGGAAGAAACACACCTTCCACACTCCGTAGCTTTAAAAGAAGTGAAAGGAAGTCGGATCCGGTTTCTACAAGCCCTTTTCCAGTAACTTTAATGAAAATCTTTTCATTTTAAAGGTGTTGCAGAGCTACTTACTTTCATTCATAGTTTTCCTGTTTTCCTCTGAGGTAAAACAGATTTATGTGTGAAAGGACAACCTGCACTTGTCAGAGTGGAGCCATCTGCCGTTTCTTGTTTACATCAGCTCCATGAAACCAGCCTCCAAGCCTCTGCATTTTCTTCTATGTGCTGATACCAGTATGACTTTTCTGTAATTAATTCTTTCCTGACATTGCAGGATCACAGGATGATTCAGGTGAGAAGTGACCTTGGCAGGTCCAACCTTTTCCTCAAAATTATATCATCTCTGCGGTCAGACCAGGTGTTCAGGACTGTATCCAACTGGGTCATAGAAAACACAGAAATGGAGATTGCAGAGCCTCTCTGGATCCTCACATCCTTTTCCTCAGAGTTGCTCCACAGTTAGTCAGTCCTTGCTAGGGGTTCTGCTTTCCTTGGGGCATGACTTTGCACTGATCTTTGCTGAATTTCATGAAAGGGGTATAAGAAAGAAGGGATCAGACTCTTCAGCAGGGTCTGTTATGACAGGACAGAGGGAAATGGTTTCAAGCTAAAAGAGAGGACATTTAGATTGGATATAAGGAATAAATTTTTTTCAAAAAGCATGGTAAGGCACTGGCACAGGTTGCCCAAGGAGGTGGGAGATGCCATGGAGACTCTGGAGATCAAACTGGACAGGGCTCTGAGCACCTCATGAGGCTATAGGTGTCCTTGCTTGCAGAGTGGGACCTGATGGCTTTTTAGGGCCCCTTCCAACTCAAACGTTTCTATGATTCTGTGCTCCTCCTGGCTCTTCCCAGTGGCAGTCCTGACCTTACGCACATTGCCTGGTTCTCCTAGTTTGCTCTTTGCAGGTCTTCATGATCATTCTCTGTCCTACAAGCAGATTAGTGAACTGCAGGAGAGCAGTCCAGCTGCATTTGCCCGATGCTGCCCCTGAACACAGAGCAAGAAGGGTCTTTGTGAGCCTTGGGGCACAGTTCTAGGCATCAGTTGGAGGCAGAGAAGGGAAAACAGTGTTTTTCTCCAAGAAAGCTCCACTATGGGCCCTTTGAGGACTGTCCTCACCTGTGCCTAGAGCCTCTGGTGAGTGTTCCTTGAGCAGGAGGAGATGGCCACCTGCCAGCTCCTAACATCCTGACTCATTTTTCCTGAGAACTCAGCAAGTCAGAGTTTCACAGACAAGAGGAAATCCCTAAACAGCATGCAGCCCAGAGAGTGGAAAGGGTTGTTTTTTTTTTTTTTTTTTTTTTAAACTCCCAGCCTCCCCTTGAGTGTATTTGACAGCTCGCTGTCCCTGTCAGCGCAAGATCCCAGTGGAAACAGCAGCTGGGAGGGCTCTTCCTGCCTAGGGGAGGCTCCTCAGGAGTTTGTGGGATTTACCAATCTCTCCCTGTCCCTTACCGAGGGCCATGTGCAGTGGCAAGCTGCAGACAGGTTTGCTGGTGGGCAGCTACTTCGTCTACTTGCTGGTGGGTGCAGCTGTGTTCCAGGCACTGGAGAGGACTGCTGAAAAGCAGCAGAAAATGGCAGCTGCTCAGATGAAGGAGGCTTTTCTGCAGAATTTCACTCACCTCACAGTGGCAGAGATGGAGCAGTTTATGAAGGTGGGTGCCCGCCCTGTGCAAGCCCTTTCTCCTGCCCATTTCCCCCTCAAATGTTATTTCCTATTCATCCTTGCTGCAAAGATAACTCTCTCTCTCTGTGTTCTTGCTGGTGTGTTCATCTGGATTATTTTTGCAAACCCCAAACCCTTTCCCTGGTTTAAGGAGGTAGATCATACTGATCTGTACACAAGTACAAGTTGATGTGGTGTGATAAAACGTTGTGTGTCAGCTGTTAACACTCCCTGCTCTAAGATGGCTCAGTTCTTTGGGTTTGTGCCTCCTGCTGGTACATCTTTCAGTGGGGCTATGCTCATCTCCAGTGGGTGGCGCAGCAGAAAAATGAGGCTGTCTGAAAGTAATGGAAGTGGTTGCCACACACAGCACAAGAGAACAATGTAGCAAACCCTGAAATAATCTGTTGGAGGAAAATAAAGGTGCTTAAATTCCTACAGGAAGCATAACACAGTCAGGGTTTCTTTCTAGAAAACGGTGGGGATTGGAACTTGGTGATCCTCGAGGTCCCTTACAGCTCAAGCCATCCTACAATTCTGTGCTGCAGAAGTTAAATAGGCAGCACAGTCAAGAGAAAGGAGCTTCTGGTCACAGCATGGGAAACTGAGATTGACTACATTTCTCACTCCATCATAGATGTTTCTTAGCTGCATTTGCTACAGTGCAAAGAAAACAAGGATTGCAAATAGCCTTGCCAGGAAGCATGTCTGCATGGGAAAGTAATGGAGCTCTTAATGAGCGTATTTTGAGGATAAGGAGAGAAGGGAGGGAACCACTATTTCTAAAAATGCAAACAGTGGCTCAGCCCAGAGTTCACATGTGCACGCATCCCCTTCATCATGGATTTTATTTTATTTTTTTCTTTTGGAGGGGGGGAATGGGTAGGAGAGAAGAAAAAAAAATAAACTTCTTCAGGACAATCCTTGTGCAAGGGCTGCCAGGACTTACGTTAGCCTTGACTTTCTGGGACTGTAGTAAAATGGTGAGGGAAGAGGAGTTAAAGCCTTCCTGGTGCAGTTTATTTCATCTAATACCTTGTCTTTGCTTGGGCTCAGCCTTGGATTTTGTTTCTGCTGCTTCTGTAGAAATCAGTCTGCATCCCAAATGTCTAGATGAATGTCCTCTGCTTGCTGAGGCAGGCCAGTTGGATACTGGGTTTCTTTCTTGTTGTTTTTCTTGTTTTTTAAGCCTCAGAAAAACCAACATCATTTAGAATGAAATCCACAGAAGGAAGGGGACTGAAAATGCATAGAGTTATTGATGATAGGGCTGGAAGGGCTTGGGAGATAAGGAGGTAAGGGCTTGGGAGATCCTGCCACAGGACAGTCTCAGTTCAACCCAAGCCTTCTCCAACAGATGTTCACTGAACTTCATCTCGAAGGCTGCATTGTCAACATTGTCCAGGTTCACGCATGCCCCTTGCAGAATGCTGTACATGTCAGGCTGGATTCTGATTGTAGTTGCATCAGTATTAATGCTTTGCAAACCAGTGACTTTATAAATATGTAGCTCCAATGAGACTACAGCCTTAAAACTACATTTTGTGTGTGTCACGTGTACCCAGCTGTAACTCACTAATGCCTGCATACAGGTGAGCAATTAGATCCCAGCTGCACCACTAAAATCTCAAGGGCAAACTCAAAACCAGGCGCCCCATCAGTTCAATTGGTGGGCTGCTTTGTTCTGCTGTGTCTTCTGTAGATCCCTTCCCTCCCCCCCCTCAAGTACTTAGCCTGCAAGAAGCAAGGTCTTTAGGGGTGAACTTCACACTGAAACAAACAAGTTCTCCTAAAAGCCATAAGAGCACTCAACGTAACTGCAGGGCAAAAGGCAAACTTTCAAAAACCTGCCAGCTAACCTTGGCAGCAAAGGTGTGAGTGGTGTTAGAGCATTAACGAAAACAAAGTGAGTGGTGTTCACAGGAAAGGAGCAGCAGTTGTCTTAATCTGTAGCACTCGTTCAGCAAAGACTTGAGAAAAGCAGTTGCGTTGATTAAAAAAAAATAATAATAATGCCTTCCCTTCCAGAACCTGACTGAAGCAATTCAGAACGGAGTTTACCCTATTGGAAATGAATCACAGACTGAAAACAGCAACTGGGATTTCAGTAACTCCTTCTTCTTTGCAGGCACAGTGGTCTCCACAATAGGTCTGTTCTGTGATTCCCATATTTGTGTGTGTGTGTGTGATGTTTATGTCTGCTTACTAGGACCTAAACTTTCAAGGATAGAAAGTCCAGTTCTTTATTGGCTTGCATGGGAGGCAGCTACTGACGTGGTCCTGAGCCCTCACTGATGCCCAAATCTTTGTGTATTACTTTGAATTTTAGAATACCAATAGTCTTTCATTTTGATCTTTTTTCTTTTTTTTACCTCGCTTGTTTCTTCTTTTCAAGCCATCTATTAAAATCTTGTTCTGCTGTCAGTTGTGGGTAGAAGATTTGACTGTCCAACATCTGATTTTTATTCTATGGTCAGACAGGCTTTAAATCTGGGAGTGGAGTAAAGCATAAAAGAATGGTATGAAATAAGTGAACTTTGCTGGGAAGGAAGAAATGAGAAGAGGACAAGGCAATTTCTAAGACTTTTGCACTGCTTCTTCAAGCTATTCTGACCATCCCAGGGGCTGCTTGCCCCTGCCTGTCTCTCCCTTTCCCTCAAATATGCATCCCAAAAAGCAAAGGCCTGCAGAATTTGAGCATGCTTATGGCTGCTGCTTCACACTGTCATGCAATGAGGGTTAAATGTATGTTTTCACAAGCTGAGGCCTCTCCCACTACACCCTAAGCACAGCTGTGCCTGTGACCTGTAAGTGTGACATGCCTTGTGTCCCTGTGGTGCCCCAGCATCGTGGCAGGTGTGTTGGTGTTGCATGAACCCATACGGAGATTTCTTGCCATAGAAGAAAGGGGACGTAGAGACTTGAGCAAAGTGTTTTCCAGCAGTTCGCACTCATCTGCTGGAACCCTTTTAGTATAACACAGAAAAATTCTTTAGGAGGATCTGGAGAAGAGAAAGAAGAATCGCTTTCCCCTGTTGATAACATTGTCCAAACACCACCAAAGAACTTGAACTGAAAATCAAATCTCACTGATTTTTTTTATTTTTCTGCTCCTCAGCACTGTGGTTATAAGTCAGACTCCATCAGTGTTGAAGAGGTCATTTTATTATAGAAAACTGCTGAGTACTCTGGAAGTCTCCTGACCCATCACATGAAAGACAGACATTTCATGGAAACAGCAATATTTACATATTAATAGCCAATCCATTCCTTGCCATTACCTGTATTATTGTAGTTTTTTCATTGTGGCGTTTCTCTCCCAAGCAAAAGGGTTTCTTCCCATCAAATTTGTTTCTCCACTGAGCGAGAAAGGCTGTCCCAGGAAAAGTCCCATTTGCTTGTTTCTCTGCCCCCTTACTGCATAGGTCTCTTAGTGAGGTACTTTTACCCGTCTTCACCTATCTTGGCTTTGCTGCCATGAAAATGCAATATTTGTGCAACAGGAAGCACAAAACACCTCGAGCATCTGAGTCTTAGCAGCCAGTTAATCACTCAGTTGTTTTATTTGTCATCTCCCCAGAGGAAAACATGCAGTTTTCCAAATAATGGATGTCTTGAGTTGAACTGTGCTCTGGAAAGTGCTTTTTCTCATGGTGAGGATAAAATAAGGACATACACAAAGTACAGAACTCTAGCACTTAAAGATGTACCTCATGGGGTCTAAGAGCAGCAAAGCCTACAGTCCATTAAAGGATATGTTTGGAGTTCTGCAGCTGTTGTTCCATTACTTATCTAAATCCTCTTTTAATAGAATTTTAAGTAAATTATCTCTCTGGCATGAATGAACTGACTACCAGTAAGGTCTGGGTTAATTAGTGCAAGGTGTTGTAATGCACCCTACAGTGTCTCAGCCAGTATCTGGACGTACCAACCTACCGGCATTCAGCCACGGCGGTCACTAACACACAGGTGTATCTACAAGAAGGCAGATTGTTTGATTCTGGCATGAGAAACAGCCTGAGACTCTAGACTTGACATCTTCCAGCTCCCCAGCCTTCTGGTTTTTGTCTTCCTGTGTATTTCTCACGGGAAACGCGTATTTTCCATAACTGCTTTTAGATTACGCTTTCATTCCCATTAAGGCTTGGTTGTAAGAACAGCACTCTGCATCCCACAGAACATCCAGGATGAATCATTTCTGCTTTCTAGTTTTGCCAGAGAAAAGTGAGTATGTAGGCTAGGAAGTGCTAGCCACATTTTCTGGAAACAAAGGCAGGCCAGGCTTGGTTGTGTGTGAATGTGATCATGGATTGCTCCAGCTCTCTGGAATATCCCCTCTGACATATCTTTCTTTTCATAGGTTATGGCACGCTACGTCCTAAAACTGTTGGGGGCCAGATCTTCTGTGTCTTTTTTGCTCTCTTTGGAATCCCTCTGAATATTGTTTTTCTGCACCGTGTTGGTAAGATCCTCTCACTGCTGTGTAAAAAGCTGGGGAAATTCCTGTACGAAAAAGGAATGAGAAAGGTAATTGGTTTTACTTAGGCACAGTGACATGCTAGTTTCTAGGCTTTTTTCCAAGATACATCCTGGCATTATCCTCTGTTACGTTTGTTCTCTTGCTGTGTTGGGCACTGTGCTAGGAGAGGAAAAGAAGTATTCTTTCCCTGCAGAGCTAAGCAGAGGAGGCAAATAGAGGAGGTTTTCAGAGAGGGGAATACGCTTTGCCTGTTCATCTACATAGCATGTCTGAGCCCACTTCAGCAATCAATGGAAAGAGAGAGAGAGAGAGAGAGTGCTTCCTTCCACTTCTCTAGACACTTATCTCAGGAGCTAACACTAGGGAAGTACTTGCCCCTCTTTATTGGCAGCTCAGAGATAGGTGATTTAGCATCTCACCTTGAGAGAAGAGAGCTGTGAAGTAGCTGAGCTGTAGGAGTTTCAGTAGACGCTGGCTCAGTGCTTAACGTGTCACCCCTCCTTATTCGTTACGCAGTCCTTTAGTCCCTTTCCGCCTTTGACTTCTACAGCAAGGAAAATTGAGGCTCAAGTTGCCCATTTGAGCCCAGCTGCTGAGAGGTGAGGAGGCACTTGCAGGGGGCTGGAGGCACGGTATCTCTGTTCTGGTTATGGTGCAGGTTATTGGGAGCTTCTCACATTCTCTCAATGCTTCTGATGAAGTGAGATTGGCTCTTCTGTGTCTCCTGCTGTAATTCTCTTCATTAGGATTAGGTATGAATGTTACAGACAACTCTGATCAAACTGTTCAGTATCCTCCTGTGTCTGGCAAACTTAAGTAGCATGTAAGGCTAGATTAGATGTTGAATCTAGCACAGGCACGACACATAAAGGCATGAGAAAATACCCAGCAGTTGCCATTCATTTCCAGACAATCTAGACTTAAAAAATGTGCATATAAGATAGATGTATCTGTTGAAAAATCTTACTGTCTGACAAGTCTTTTTATCCAACCACAGTTGCTTCATAGCTGCTTGGTGGTAGGATGGTTCAAAAGTCACTGGCTAGACAATTCTTCATCAGGAGTTTGTTTGTTAAAGGTCTCCTTGTAGTCACTTATCCACTGGGTAAGATTTAAGTTGTGGTACAGATGCAATGATAAAGTTAACAGTCAAGACTCTGTAAGATACTGCAAGCAATATTGGAAATTATTTTTTTAAATATCTATTTTCCAAGGCAAAATTGAGTGTTCTTGGGAATACCTGAATGTCTGAAAGCTAGCTAAAAGTGATGTCGTTTAGTGAAAACTGGAAATGGCCTAATTCTGGTAAAAGTCATTGGGAATTCCTTCCATATGCGTGGGCATTAAAGGCTAACAGAATAAATAAATTAAAAAAAAAAAAAAAAAGACTATATCTCTCAGGTTTAGTATGGATATGGAACACCTTTAATGCATAGATTCCCCCTGCTTCAGGGCAACACACAGTGATTATAGAAGGTGTTCCTAGGTGGTCACCCATTTTGAATACCAAGCGTTATATACGGCCTGCTAGTGTGTCAAATCATGATTGTAATTTAGTTGTTTCTTTTTCAGAAGAAGATCAAATTTCTGACCCTTCTGTTCTTCCTTGTGACTGGGATCCTAGTGTTCCTGTGTTTGCCATCACTGTTCTTCCAGATCACAGAGGGTTGGTCCTACAGTGAAGGAATTTACTTTGCATTTATCACCCTCAGCACCATTGGCTTTGGAGATTACGTAGTAGGTAAGATTGATTTCAGAGAGGAGGTGCAGCAAAGCACCAGGGTTGCAACTTTAATTACTGTGGGTTGACTGCACAGGTCATCAGTGTACTCTAGAGACAAATCTTCTGTCTAGTCTTTGACCAGTCTTTGCTTTGTAAGATTTTGGAGGAAATACTTGTCTTTCTAGGATTTCATGAGCTGATGAAAGCACAGAGTTGTATAAACGTAATGAGATGGGGTGCAAAAAGCCAAATATTTTGGGGAGGGAAGGGTAGAATTCAACAAGCCCAGGAGTTTGCATATATGAAAACGAGATAGTTGTGACTGCCATATAAGATACATATCCCTGCTTTAGCCACCTAAGACTTACATTTCAGAGTATACAGTGAAAATATAAGTGCTTGTGTTTCAGAAGACATGATTTTACAGAAGTCCAAGAAGTAGAAACTATAGTCACAGGGCAGTGGGAAAATCTACTCATGAAAATCTATGAGAAGTGGATCTTAAATAGGTACATCACTTTAAGAGCAGCCTTCTTTAGTATCCTCATGCACTACTGCATGTGCTGTGTCTTCCCAAGTTAGAGCTTAGGAGGTTCCTCTGATGTCACACCGTTGAAGCCACACTCCAGCTTGTTGGTGTGCTTCTCAAAACACTTTGTGACTCTGCTGGTCAAAATACACTCTGAACAGAATCAGCTTCTAGAAGAAATCCACAGTGAAAACCAGGAGTCAAGTGTGTGTCCATGGGAGAAGCAACAGAACACCTGGATTCCTTGAAGTATCAAGGATTTCTCTACAACAACCTGTTCTGCCAGCATCTCTCCAATACAGGCTTTTCCTCGGCATTGGTTCAAGAAGGAAGCTTTGGAGCTAATACTTGAGTTTTGCAATTACAAGAGCAATAGCCCCAGAATAGCTACTTCAATAGCACTTTCCTCAGGTGTAAACATGTTATTTTACAAACACGGTTGAACGAATTAGACGAGCCTCCTGGCTCTGTGAGTTCTTCTTTAAGATGACTTAACTGGAGCTGCAGTTTTTTTTTCCTGCAGTAGTTGTCAAACAATGGCAGTAAAATGCCTCAAGTTGTGCCAGGGTAAGTTTACATTGGATATCAGGAAAAACTTCTTTTACAGAAAGGGTTGTACTGCACTGCACTGCAATGGGCTCCCCAGGGAGGTGGTTGAGTCACCAGCCCTGAATGTGTTTAAAAACTGTTTGGATGTGGTGCTCAGGGACATGATTTAGCAGAGGGTGGTTAGAGTTAGAGTAGCATGGTTAGGTTGTGGTTGGACTTGATGATCTTGAAGGTCTTTTCCAACCTGAGCAATTCTATGATAAGTTTTAATGCCACACACAGCTTCTGAACACAACAGTCAGAATGAATGTTCTTCATCTTGTGTGTTTAGAATTGATTACAAATGACCAATAGTTTTGTGCTGACCAAATGGAAGAGGACAAGCATGAGTTTATTTGCATTTCAGTAATTCTGATTTTTGTAGCTGCTGTACTTCAAGGATGAGATAAAGCCTGTTTTGTATGGGGAGAAATCCTAGGAAGTTGACAGTCCTGATTCAGCTGTTCGCAGCACGTGGACACATCGGTGACATTTCTAGGGTGGAACTCCCCTTGGTCTGTGAACCAGCTTTATGCCTTACTGAAGTTCAGCTTTGAGTTAACGTTACGTAGATATTACTAGCTGCTTTGCAAACAGTGTTGAAGTCCTAACCCCACACGATGAGCTTCACACAGAACAGAAAAAGAGATGCTTTACAGGAAGCCTGACAGCTTCTCTACCTGACAGCTTCTCAGTCCCAGCAAAAGAAATTAAACCAGCTGTCGGTTTTCTATTCATGATTACAAACCAGCTCACTGCTGCCCCATTTCCAAAGTTTTGCATGAGGAAGTACAAAAATCCAACTAGTTGATTTATTTAATGCAAAGTGCTGCAGGACATGAAATGGGATGCCAGCATCCTGATCTGGGCAGCTTCAGAATGTGAAATGCTCCACCAGGTTGTGGTGATCTCCCTGTCCATGCATGTTGCTGTTATCTCTGCTATATGGATTCACCCTTAACAATGACTTGCAACATTCACCAAGCAGCATTACTAAGTTTTTGTGCTGATGCCAGGACCGTATCATTTCAACAGAGGGGAACTAGATGCAGTAGGAACAAATGCTTTCTGAACATTGCTTGTGGATTGCTGACATCTGAGCAAACAAATGAAGTGACCCATGCAGAAAAGTGGGTGTGTAAGGCTAGGTGATGCTAAGTGGTACAGACTGCATGAAATAAGCTCCAGTCCACTAATTTCCAACATAGAAACTTGTGTTCTTGGCAAGTAGTGAGTTCTCATCAGTCATCTACTTTATTAATGGAAAATGCTCCTGAGTCCATTCAAAAGTCAAGTAGAAATTGCAATTTCAATTAAGCATATCAGTAATTTAGAGCAATTACCTATCAGGTCATAATCGCATTTTACAGAATCACAGTAACTTGCTTGGAGGCCAATCCACACCAATCTCAGTATATCTTTTGGAGAGACCATCTTGTGTGCTAACATATATAAAATTGAAGACACAAGAGACTCAGAGTCTCAGTCAGCCTGAATCTAGAACATGCTTTCCTCTGACCTGGAGTACTGCTGGTGTATTTTATACATTGCATACTGTAGTATTCCATCACAATGAAAGTCACCTTGAAGCATTAAGTGTAAAATCACACAGAATCACACAGAATCACAGAATCACCCGGGTTGGAAGGGACCTCAAGGATCATGTAGTTCCAACCCCCCTGCCTAGCAGGGCCACCAAACACACACATTCAGATCAGGTTGCCCAGGACCCCGTCCAACCTGGCCTTAAACACATCCAAGGACGGGGCATCCACAACCTCCCTGGGCAGCCCGTTCCAGGGCCTAACCACTCTCCTTGTATAGAACTTCCCCCTAACATCCAACCTAAATCTTCCCTCCTTCAACTTCGATCCATTTCCCCTAGTCCTGCTGTTGTCAGCCCTTTTGAAGAGTTTACTCCCCTCGTGGGTGTAGGTTCCCTTCAGGTATTGATAGGCTGCAATGAGGTCACCCCGCAGCCTTCTCTTCTCCAGGCTGAAATTAAATACATTAATTGAGTCCATTAGGCTTGCCTGTTTTACACAGGCAAGGCCAGTTTAATTTGTTAATTTTCTCCTCCTTTCTCTCCCCCTACCTGCAGGTAAACAACCTGGCAGGATTTATTTTTCCTACTACCGAACAATTGTGGCCATTTGGATTCTTTTTGGACTTGCCTGGATTGCTCTCCTATTTAATTTATTGACAACGGTTCTAGAAGATACTGAGAAAATAATTGTCAAGGATCTTCATCAAATTGGAAAGGTGGGTGAGGATAATGCAGCAAGCCAACCAAGAGGGTGCTGGCCTGTTCAGTTTATTCCAGAAGAAGAACTGATAGCATCTCATGCTGAAGGGGATGCCCAGAAAATGGAGTCATTAGCAGCAGAGGGTGCACACGAAAATGGAGTTAGTAGCAGCAGGTCCTGAACAAACAAAAAATGAAAAAGTGTTTTCTGATAGCCAAAAATACTGGCCATATGCTTTAGCACGGACATTTAATTCTTCATTGGAAATTTGCTAGTGCATTATTCTAAAGAAATTCCCATGGAAATTAAATTTATCCCACCTTTTGCTGAAGTACGGCCATTTAGAGCTCAAGACTTTCAGTTACACAGAAACACAACATTAATGATATGAAATTTGCTCTACAGTTTGCAGCCATCTTGTGCTAAAACATTACAAGTGCACCCATTTTGTGAGGCTTTTTTAAGATGCTTCCATGAAAATGCAAAGGAGGGGTGTGGTAGAGCTTGCTTACTGTATTTGGATTTTGCTGCTTGTAAAAAAAAATATCACATCTCTTCTTGGAGCTGACATGTACAAGCTTTTCTGAGTTTCTGAGTAATACCAGCACCTTTGGAAGAAGAAGAAATAAGGGCATATAACATGCCTTGATTTCAGACATCACATAGGATGAACTGGCATGATCTGAAAGCTGTGTTTGAAGGACAAGACCTGGGCTCAGTGCAGAGATGGATGAGCAAGGTTAGAAAAAGGATACCTGTATTATGATTAATGATTAATTCTACATATTCCTGATTTACACTAAGATAAATAAAAGCAACTTCACTTCTTATCCCTGCAGCTTTGAAAAACCTTTCTGATGAACATACAAATTCAGATTTTATAATGATTATATTTCATAAGGATTTTACAAGATCAGAAACATGTTTGAATGGAGGAGTCCTCACTGCATCAAAGCCTTGCTTCTGTTTGTGCTCCACAGGTGCTAAGATGTCATTTAAAAGCAATCCTACTATGCTGTGCTAAAGTACCTTTCCAAGTGCTAGTGCTGTCTAAACACTGCCATCTTGCCTTCAACCAGGGAGAGGAGGATGACAAACTTGTGAATGGTGTTTTAGATGTACTGCCATTCAGGCTATCCCTAGGTGAAGATCCTGGCATTCAAATGGGTTGATCGCTCCATCAGGTGCCTTGTGTGTGTCAAGAGTACAGGAGAACTCTACCATGAATTTCTTGCAGTATCTCTTCCAGAAGCTGGTGGCTCCCCTGCTGTCCGAGCAAGAGGTGGAGTAATGTGTACTTCAAAGTCTGCAAACCTGTCCACCTCACATCAGCACCCACAAGACTCTCTAAAGGCAGTCCATACACTCAGCACATGGAGTGCTTCCCTCTGCTTGGTGCTGAACCTGTTGCTTCACAGGTTTTCACGATCCTGAGTTTCTGTTTTGTCAGGCAGTGAATAATTGTACTTGGCTAACCCTCCGGGTGTTAGTTTTAGCAAAACCAACTCTTGCCAGAGCTATTCCTGTACAAAAGGGAGAATAAATTACAGCTGTAAAGCAATTCTAGGCCGTAAAGATGCAATCAGCCTTGAACTCATATCTTTTTCAGTCAAACAAACCCACAGTTCTTGCCAAAACAGCCCTGCTGGTTCAAGATCTGGCATGTAGACCCGACCAAATATGTACTTTCTTTCCCTCCACAAATTATTTCCCAGTGTTAGCCTCAAGGCTAACTTCTAATCTAACATCTCTCCTTCTCAGGAAGCCTTTCTGAGGCAGCAGGAACAAGAGCTGCCCAAAGTCAGGGCAGGGTGTCATAGCACGCAGCAGTCCCCATGTGTGTCCCTTGCGATCCCTGTGCAAGCTGTTGCTGTCACAGCACAACACCCTGGCCAGGCAGAAGAAACAGTTGCTCCCAGACAGGGATCTTGTCACCAACTTATGTTCTCTCAACAAGCCTTGGCTTATTTTCAAAGTGTGTTTTCTTCTCTACTGCCTTTGCCTAGTCCTTCCCACGGGGACCATTAACCCCATCCTCAGTCTAACAGAGATGCCATGAGGGCTGGTTTAGAGAGGTGTGATCTGCCTTGAGCTGTGAAGGCCACATTGCACGGCCTCGTTGTCCCTTCCAGGATGGTTCCTGATGTCTCCCAACCTCAAGGTGTGTGTGTCGGTTTCATAGAACCATAGAATGATAGAATGGCCTGGGTTAAAAAGGACCATCTAGTGCTCAAGGTTAGACCATCTAACGCTCATCCAGTTCCAACCCCCTGCTGTGTGCAGGTGGCCAACCAGCAGCCCAGGCTGTCCAGAGCCACATCCAGCCTGGCCTTGAATGCCTCCAGGAATGGGGCATCCACAGCCTCCTTGGGCAACCTGTTCCGGTGCCTCACCACCCTCTGGGGGAAAAACTTCCTCCTAACATCTAACCTAAACCTCTCCTGTCTCAGTTTAAGGCCATTCCCCCTTGTCCTATCACTATCAACCCATATGAACAGCCATTCCCCCTCCTGTTTATACGCTCCCTTCAAGTACTGGAAGGCCACAATAAGGTCTCCCTGGAGGCTTCTCCAAGCTAAACAAGCCCAGTTCTCTCTTCATGCTGCTGGAGAGAAAGAAGAACAGGGAGGGAAACATTCCTCCTAGAAATATCTTGAAGTCAACACACCTTCTTCAGCATGTTTCCAGTGTCCTGCTTGTTCCCTGTCATGACAAATCATAGAACCATAGAATATCCCAAGTTGGAACAGGTTGCCCAGAGAGGTTGTAGATGGAATGCTTCCCTGGAAGCATTCAAGGCCAGGCTGGATGGGGTAGTGAGCAACCCAGTCTAGAAGGAGGTGTTCCTGCCTATAGTGGGGAGTGGAACTGGACAATCCTAAAGGTCCCTTTCAACCCAAACCATTCTATGATTCTATGATTCCATTCTAAGTTGGAGGGGACCCCCAAGGATCATTGAGTCCAGCCCCTGGTTCCACACAGCACCACCCAAACTCTATGTCAGAGCAACATCCAGACTGATAACGTCCCACTGCATCACAGAGCAATCAAGGGTGTTTGTTCAGGCAGCTCAGGAAGGGCAAAAGGACCAGGGAATGTGGGACACAAGGCAGGAACTGCTGTCACAGAGCTGCCCTCCTTCAGACACGATGTAGTGAGGTGTCACTCCAGTGGAGCTGTGTATGGAGAAAACACTTACACAAGCATAAAAAAAAAAAGCACAAAAGCTTTCCCTCAGGAGAAATTTAGGCGGCTGCTCTAAGAAAGCAATCAGCATGCTCCCAAATCCTTGCAGCTGCAGAAAGGCCTTTTGAGGGTTTCAGCTTGGTTTCTTGTGCCCTCTTGTGGCTGTGTGCTGCAAAGTCTTTTCTTTGCTTTTCTCTCCCGTGGGAAAGGAAAGGGGAGAAGCCCAAGAAAGCTACGAGCCAGGGTGGGCAAAGAACATTTTTCGATACAGTGTCTTTTCTCCCTCGTGTTTCTACTGAAGAATGAAGTCGTCTCCAGAAGGGTTTAGGCACAGCAACAAACCTCTCTGTGCTGGAGCAGCCTCCTCACTTCCAGCATTATCACCCTGCAAACAGTGCACAACCACGGCAGATCTTGTCCTCGCATCACCCCTAGAAGAGGGAGCTGTTGATTTCTGTGCAAATAGTAAGGCCTCAGAGAAAATCTAATGTGTTGCCTGAGCTCAGGCACAAAGCCTTTAACAAGCACCTGGGCTGGTGCCCTCTCAACCCCAGGTGTCCTGGGATTGCCTACTGATAAATCTGACCCAGCCAGTGTTCCTGTAGTTGCTAGGATTAAGATCATCTTGAGTTGACAGCAAAGTTAGAACAGAGATTCTCCTCCACAGCCAGAGATTCGAAACGATTGCAAGGCTTTTGAGTATAAGCCAAGCTCTGGCTCTTCAGCATGTTGCTGATGCCCAAAGCAGAGAAAGCAGGAGTCAAATCCAGCCCCAGCTCCTTCTGTGCCAGCAGCCACCCTCCAGAGGGACTTTTCCCTCAGCACTCTGTGCATCCTGCAGCTTTTCCTGGCTGTAAAAGAGCCCTCACAGCCACCCAGCCCTGCTGTGCCATGAGGGGAAATCCAGCTTTCACAGACCACCGCTGCCAGCTCTCCCACTGCAGCTCTTTTTCAAAGCGAGGAACATTTCCAAGGCAGGCCAAATACTTTCCCATACATTTAACAAGTTGCTGAAAAATTCCAGGGGTAGGATCGTGAATTATCTTGGATTAAACGGCAGCAGCATGTTCCTGCATTCAGGCTGAGCTGCTCCTCATACATCACCCACAGCCTTGCTGCCAGCTAGCAAACAGTGTGCATTTCTGCACTTGAAACCGAGGAAAATGCCATGAGAAATTATCTTTCCCTCAGAAAGAAGCCCCTGAGAAATCCGTTTGCCTCCAGAGAGAATACGAGAAACTGCACTTTGATCTGTCTTTAATTAGTATATGGGATTGTTTAGGGAACTTTTGAGGTCTCCTTCAATTAATAGTCTGTTCATTTGGAGAGATTAGTTGTGTTGGGGGTTTTTTCTTTCTTTCTTTCTTTTTTTTTTTTCTGGAAGCAGAGAGACTACTCAAATGGAACTGCTTGGCTAATGTAATATCATATAGCCAGCGGGATCTTTTCTTTTTTACAGAAATCACTAAAATTGGGCCACACACATATTATTTTCCATTCTGTCATACTTGGAGATGTGAATTCTCTCCTGACTTGAGCCCAAAAGGCTCTGCATCCAGCTCAGAAATGGTTCAACAAACAGAACTCCTCGCTCTCCAGAGGCCTGTTCTCCATCCCTCATGATTGCACCCAAGAAAACAACAACAACAAGCAATCACCACAAAAGCCAGAGTTTTTTAGCATCAGCTAAATTCCCTTGTATCGTTTCAGAAGGGTTTAAAGTGGCCTTGAAAATCATAGAACGGGTTGGGTTGGAAAGGATCTTAAAGAGCATTAGTTCTGCTGCCCCTGCAGAGGGCTGGATGCTCCCCCAGCTCAGGCTGAGCAGGGCCTCGTCCACGGCCTTGGGCACCTGCAGGGATGGGGCACCCACAGCTCTGGGCAGCAGTGCCAGGCCCTCACCGCCCTCTGAATGAAGGATTTCCCCCTGACATCTAACACAAACCTCCCTTCTTTTAGTTCAAAGCCATTCACCCTTGCCCTATCACTGCCTGCACATATAAAAAATCGCTCTCCCTTCTGTTTGAAAGGTCCATTCAAGTGCTGAAAGGCCGCAAAGAGGTCTCCTAAGAGCCTTCTTTCTGCAGGCTGAACACTTCCAGCCCTCAGCCTTTCTTTGTAGGGAAGAATCTCCAGCCTTCTGACTATCTTTGTGGCCTTTTCTGGACCACTTCAACAGCAGGTCCAACATGATGTCCTGCAAGGTTTTGTGTCAGCTCTCATACTGTAAGGAAAGGAGAACCCGTGGGGGCTCCAGCATCTGTGGCTGAGGACTGACCTGGGGCAGCACTGCTGGTTCAATGCTAGCAAAGCCAACACTGAGTTATTCTTGAGATAACAAGTTCTGGGGATAGTCAGAGCACCCATCCTTGCCTCTACTGACCTGCAGCCAGCCTCACCTCCACTGTGGGATATGAGCTCAAGCAGCACTGAAGCTGCTAAGAAAATACAGCCATTCCTATCTTGAGGGGTTCTGGACTTGATTAGGATAATTCTCCACCAGAGGTTTGGGAAAGCTCATTTTGCTGAGTTAAAGTTAGGGCAATTATCGAATCCATTTAATTGCCGGTTCAACATGATTTAGGAGACATGTCTCCTGAACAAATACTGTCCCAAATTTCTCTTTCAATTATTCTCACATATG